CCAAAATTCCTCCAATCCAATTAACTGTATACGTATGTATATTTTTATGCCAATTCATATTGGCAAAATAGTGAAAACACACAAAGATTTTCGAGATCTAATCTCCCAGTAAAAAACGAAATAAAAAGGGTATTCTCGATCAAAAAGCGCATCTCTAATAAGACAAGAGAAATAGGATAGGATTTGAGAGAGACGCAGACACAAAAAGATTCGCACTCTTTTTTTCGCCTTCAGATTGAAAGTGACAGATATTAATTAGTGATCGTTCGGCAGGCAAATTTCACGCGTTTCTAAAGAAAATGAAAATGGAAAAAAAAGAGGGATTTCTAGATTTTTGGAGGTCTTTTTTAAGGCTTCGAAGATAGGCATCTTTTAGGTGGGAGGGATGAAAAATGAGAAAGTTAGAAGAAAGCCTTGAAGATTGATTTATTAATTTTTTTTTGAAAAGTTTATGTCAATTACTATAGACTGTACTTCGTCAATTTCAATTTTTGACACCGAAATCTGAGACGACTAATTTTTTGAGAAACTCCTTTTTGAAAACAAGAACTTGAAGCAGTAATGTTTTATTCAAATTTTTGTCCCGGGAATTTAAAAATTAAAATTTCAAATTTTAAAATCCAAAACTTAAAGATGCGTTCCAACAGATTTGAATTCTCTGCAATCTTCAAAAAATAACAAGGAGTGAATTCTGAAAATTGAACAGTTCTATGCATTGTATATCATTGGAAAGTCCTTGAAATTTCCAACAATTCTATACCCTTTTTATAGTTCTAGATTCAATTTAAAAAGAGTTATGCGCCTTCAAAGTTTGAGAGAGGAGATGAGAAACAACATGCTCTCTTTTCTCTGTGTCTCTCATGGCGCCTAACTTGGCTCAAAATTGTCCGATTTTAGTGAATTTTAGCTAGTTTTGCAAGAAATTCGAAGGGCTTTTCGAAAATTTCTAGGTTTTGCGTTAGTTCAAAAACGCTTTCTTTAAAATAGGCAAACTCAAACCGTCAACTTTGAGCTCCACTATCTCGATTCCTATAAAAGATATCATAAATTTTGTAACTGATTGGCGACAATGTGCTGAACATGTTATCAATTTACAAGTTTTCAATATCTATTTCAGAAACCGAGATAATCGATATTAAAGTAAGTATACCACACCGCCTTAATCGAACTATACCCTGTCTACTTTAAGCTCATGTATCTCGTTTCCTATGAGAGATATCAAAAAATTTGTCAATTGATAGAATGTTTATCATAACATCAACAACAATTTATCAGTTCTCAAACTTTTGTTATCTCTCACAGAAAATGGGATAATTGAGCTCAAAGTTGACATATCTCATTTTTGAGTTAAAATTCTTATAACTAGCAAAATAACAAAAAAAATTCGGTTTCAATTTCTAGATTTTTTTCAAATTTTTTTATGAATTTGTTCGTACAAACACATTTTGTCCCGATCATTTCAACAAAACCTTGAAACCTCCCCCTGTCTCAAAAATCTTGTGTCCTTCTCCTCGTTTTTTTTGTAACAAATTTTCGTTTTCGAAATTTTCCCGTTAATTTCGTCTGCTTGTTCGATTTGCTTGTTCCCGCCCATCATCATCATCATCTCAGAATTCATTTATTACCAGAATATGAAGACTAGATATGAAGATTTGTTTTGTTTGTATACATTTATACACACATCTCTTTTTGTCTTGTACTATTTGGTTTTCGTTTTCGCTTTTTTAGTTGTTTCATTCGTTTTTCTCGTTTTCCTTTTTAGCCCCCTCCTTTTGTGGTGGTTCTAATGTGTACTTTGTCTGAAGATTTTGGGAATATTTCCTTGGAAAATGTTATTGCTTTTGGAGCCAAGTGAACGGAAATACCATTAAAAACCTTTCCTGAAAATCAATATTTTGAAAACATTCTGAAACAGTAAAAAAATGAATGTTCGGTTTTAAACCCATTGACTTCTTAAAGTTTCTCCTGATTTTTGGGCCAATTTGAGCCAGATTTTTGAGCCAAAAATGCATAGTAAGACCCCTAATTTTGAGCTAATCTATCTTGCTTCGTTTGAAAGTTATCAAAAAGTGATAAACTAACAGAATGTTGCTAATATTATGATCAACATTTTATCAGTTAACATTTTGTGATACTTCTCACGAAAAACGAAATAAACTGAATAGAAAGAAGTTGACTACATAGTATGGTTAATGGAAGTGATTCAACAAAAATCTTTCCTAAAAGTCATTTTTTTTGAAAACAATCTGAAACAGTAAAACACTAATTTTTCGGTCCCATACCGTATACTTATTTTTCATAACGAAGGGTAATGAAAAATCACGTTGGTCCTGTTTAGAAAAAAAATTGAAATTCCTCAATTTTTACAGTTTCAATTTTTCCATAATTTGTTGTATTTTTGAGAAAATTTTGTTGTTTTTTTCCTGTTGCGACTCAAAAATTTTTCAACTTTTAAAAATATTTATCTCAAAAAATGTTATAAATCTCTTTAAAAATTCGAAAAAACAATTTTTTGCCATGAAACGATTACCATGAAATCTGTATTAGAGAGGTCGCTCATTTTGGCCTAATATATCTCGGTTCCCGTCAGAGATATCAAAAAGAGGTCAACTGAGAAAAAGTTTAGCACAATCTTTAAAATATTTTATCATTTGACCACTTTTTGATATCTCTTACAGGAAACGAGATAATTGGGTAAAAGCAGACAACAGGTTTTAGACTACTGTGATAAGATTTTCATCTTATTTAACTGGTACAGCATAAACAATCAAAATTTTGAAAACATCCTGAAACAGTAAAAACAATGTTTTGGTTCGGTCTTTCTCTTTTCGTTAATTTCTAAGCACGGGAATTGAAAAATTCCAATACTCATGAAAATTTTTATTTCATAAATCGGTTTTTGACATTTCTCAAACTTACAGTTTTTTTTCAAATTTATGGCACTTTTTCAGAAAATTTTTCTAAACTCCATAGTCAAACCAAAATAACAATAAACAATCAAACGATTGCGGTCTAATTTTTTGAATGTAGTTTTTTTTTTGGAAAAAAAAGTTGGTGTTTCAAAAATGGAATGAATCTGACCAGTGTTTCCTTCGAATAATATCATTGCTTTGTCCACCGAAATGCCTTGAGATGTATATAATTTTGAAGAGGTTTGGAATCCATTGATCGAATTTTAACTTTCGAATCCCAATACGTTTCTTGATCTAATCCTCATTCCTTGGTTCATAAAACATCAATAAATTTTTTAATATTATTCCTCGATATTCCATATCAATACTTTTTATTCATTTTAGGTTTAACATCATATTTCTAGAACAGTGAAGTCATTGGAGATTTTTTTCTCAAAAGATCAAAAAACATGTAAATCCTAAACTTCCCCTTTAATGATTCCAACTTTTTGAAATATTTTTGGAATTCCCTTAAAAATTTTACCGTTTCAAAATGTCGACAAAATGTTCCGTAATTGTTGATTTTCTGATTGAATTTTATCCTCCATTGACAGCTTCAAAATCCTCAGCCACGTCATCGTACTTCTCTGAATCACATTTTTCTTGACACGGCATCTCTGCCATAAGTGTAATCTCATTCTTGTTCCAATACCTGTTCACCTTTCTCTTTTTCTCTACCACTTTTCTCAATAATAATTTTCTCAAATCGCCTGACTCATCACCTTTGACGTCTTCTGAATCTTCTTCTTGGTTTGTTGGCCCATTTATTACAGCATGAACAATAGAAGAGAACTGCCCAACGGCCTTCTCTCGTTTGTCTTTTAAATCTTGTTCGTTTTGGAGATTTCTCTAGAAAAAGAAGATTCATTTTGACAGTTGGTTAAGGTACCTATCAATTTTACATAATTTTCTAAATATTTTTTCCTGCAAATGAAACTGGAAAATTTATTTTCAAATTTTTTGCATATTTCCGAATTTGTCAGTTTTAAAGCTCAATTATCTTGATTCCTGTAAGAGTTATCAAAAAGCTGTCAACTGATAAAATGTTTGTCATATTATCACCAGCATTTCATCAATTAACAGATTTTTTAAATCTTTTACAGGAACTGAGATAATTAAGATGAAAAAATTAGTGTTTCAAAAAAATGTTTTTTTTTCTCTGTAAAATCAAATTTTATGTTAAAGGTGGGGGGACAGGAGATTTTTCGTAGTTTTTTTGTAGCTAGAGTATGCATTCTACCGTCACGGTGTACAACGCTTAATGTCACTCTGCGTACAGCTGTCGTCCTCGCCTTTATGTATGCAATCGGGCGTGCGCTTTCTCTTTGCCCGCGTAGCTCAGTCGGTAGCGGCGCCGCACCCTCAATCATCGCCCTCACAAGTTCAACTTCTCGAGGGGCATCTTTGAACGAAATTTCGAGAACATTATTTTTTTCATGTCCCCCCACCTTTAAGTGGAATCTTTATTAAAGAAGCATCTACCGTAAAACCTCTAACGACACCCGGATCGTCCACTTTGAACCTATATATCTCATTTTCTGTGAAATATATCAAAAAGTGGCTAACAAGTAAAATGTTGCTGATATCCTGATAAACATTTTACTAGTTAACCACTTTTTGATATATTTCAAAAGAAGTGAGATATATAGGCTCAAAGTGAACGATCCGGGTGTCGTTCTATCAGAGGTTTTACGGTATATTTTTTCCCGGTAACTATTTTTCTATCAATTGTGAATTTTTAAATTTTAATTAAATTCCAAGTTTCACTATTTTTAAATTAGGTTTAAAATTAACTTTCCGGTTTCATCTAACTGTTTTTTAAAATGAAACTATTTTTGAACACTATACATTCTTCTTTTACAGTATCATAACTTATGTAACAGTACCAAAAATGAAAAATTTATAAAATTCAAAATTTTCGAAAAATCTGTTGCACATGTTTTATATATCTGGATGTTAACCGAATTTTTATTAAGTCGAGTATTCCGATCAAATCCCGTTTTTAAATTCAAATTTCAGTGTTAAATCGTTTTTCTCAATTATCCAATTATGTACAAACCACAAGAAAAGTTCCCTTCTTCAGAAATGCGAGAGAAACAGCACAATCCTTTCCGATTGCTCATATTGCTCATCCTAACTTCTACAGTATCCTGTCAGCTATCCTGTCACCGGATACCAACTTCATTCTGTTGTACAACAAGAATCAGAGATCAGTGTCCGGAACAGTGTGCAACGGTTCAATGTGGCACCGAATTTATACATAATTGTGAGTTTTTTAATGGTGTTGGAAATCAGAGAAAAATTGATAAGACCAACTAAACCACAATTTTGAAACTGAAACAAAAATTTTTGAGCTCATTTATCTCGGTTCCTATAAAAGATATCAAAAATTTGTCAACTGATAAGATGGTTATCAAATTATCAATAACATTTTATTAGTTGACAGGTTCTTGATATCTCTAAAAAAACCTAGATAACTGAACTCAAAGAAAACGTATAAGTTAGCGTTCTAAAGTAAAATTCATGTTAGAGTATGTTTCAAGATAATGTGAAATCTGTATTTTTTAACTTTTTGGATTCACTAAAATTCTTTCAGTGTTCTCAACGGACGGTTCTCGAAAACCAGCCAACAATAATAATAACTTCGGTGGAGCGCATGATGGAAACGCGAATATTGGAGGTGTTGGAAGTGGAGATTCTCAGAGAGGTGCAGATGGATTTGGAGGAATTGGTTAGTTAAATTTTTTAAAACATTAAAGGGGAGGGGGAATAGCCACGAAAAATATAAACCCTAAAACCTGTAATAGAAGGGCCCTCACACTGTCAAGTTTTCCAAGTTAAAAATTAGAGGGCACTTTTATTACAGGTTTTACGGTAGTCGGACTTACTGCAAAAATATTCGCGAAGCTACCAGTTCAGCTAGGGTTAGCTTCCGGCTGCGTAGCTCGAATGGCAAGGGGTACGGTAGAAAGGCAAATGTGTAAATAGCAACAAAAAATTTAAAACAAGTACACTAGAGGTAAATTTGACGAAAACATTTTTTTGGAAATTAAAACAAGTGGTATGTTAATTCCAGTAACGTCAGCTCAATCAACTGTGGGAATACTATCACTTTTAGAAACAGAAATATTTACTGTGATTTAAAATTTTTTGGCCTTAATGTTCATAGCTGCCTGATCAGAATTATATGCATATTTAGAGAGTACGCATTTTTGTGTGATGGTGTACAGTAATCGGTGTTTGTTTCTTTTTTGTATGGCGGCAATCTCATAGCTCGATGGTATAGTTCAACTACTTGAGACCCACAAAATCATTTTTGTTGTACATTTTTCATGTCCTACCTTATTTTCGAAAGTTCAAAAAATTTTAAAAGTTTCAAAATGTTTATTTTTACTTGAATGCAAGAATCATGAGTAATGTGGCCAAACTTCGATTACCGGATTTTCAAATTTTAGAATATTCTTTTTTTTATTTTAAAATCTGTTTCAAACTTTCGTGAAAAATGTCTGAACTTTAAAATCTTCATTGAACTTTCAAGTCCTATAATTAAAATCTTGATAACTTCTTTCAACTGTCAGCTAATCGGGTTTATTGTTCAAGTTTTATTTCAATTTCTTTCGGAAACAGAAAAGTGTCATTATAAAAATGGTTTTTTTGGAAATTCTAAAATTATGACATTTTTTCAATAACGTTATTGTCAGATTAAAAAAAGTGACACCTGAAAATCTCGGAGACGGCGCTCGTGTCGATTTACGAGGGGGCGGAGCGAAAACTGATACTGTAGATAACAAATTTATTTATGTGAATTTAGTGGGATTTTCCAAAATTTTGATTTCTTGGTATGAAAATGATCGCTAGCATCTCTAGAATCCATTTTTCAGCAAAAAACTAAATTTAAACGCGAAAGTAGCTCAAACTAGCCGAAATTCTGAAATATTACGTTTTTGCCGCATTTTTTCGTAGATCAAAAAAAGCAAAAGTTTTCAAATTCTCAGGAGTCACTTTTTTTAATTCGACAATATCAATACTCAGGATTCCATTGTTGCGTGTCTTCCTAACCAACCTTAATTTTAGCCTTTCTACCTCCCATAACATAGGTTTTCCAGATCCCTCGATAACCTCATTCGAAAAACCTGACCAACCCCCTCCGCCTCCAGCTGCGCCATCCCGTGTGGATGCCACGTGGAATCCAGAAACGCATTCGAATTCTGGAGATGCTAGAAGAATTACAACAGAGAATTTCTTCACAACAACCCAACCAACCACTTCTTCCGGATTTCCAACCCTGATTCCATTCTCCACGGATTCCTGGACCACTCAAACTCCTAGACCCTTGGCTCCAGAACCCGTACTGGCTCCAGAGGCCAATAGAATGCCAGTTCCAGTCCCTGAGGTCCCAAATTTGGGATTTCATGGAAATTTTGGACAAGAATTGCCGGTGACAAACCCAACAGTGGCTTCGCCTCCAAAACGAGATGTATTTTTTTTGAATGTGTGATAGTTTCAGTTCATTTGGTTTCCATTTCCAGGGTCACCGACGACGAACGACACCGGATCCAAGAATAATTCGACCACCAGAATCCCTGGTTGTCATTGGAGATTATGATGAAGACGAACCACCATCCGAGAATGCTGTTGTGGATTCGCCACGTGGGTTTTTTTGTGTCTTTGTTGAGTGATTTAATACAGTAACATATAAGGAACTTTGTTTAATAAGTAATACGTACCGGTAATTTCATATGAATCACTAATAATCAATACCAAATGGTTTTTAAAAAGTTATCGATACAGATAAGTTTTTAAAAATATTTTTCTCTCAAAATCAATTTGCGTCTTGCCTCTAACTTTGAACCCATATATTTCCTTTCCTTTAAAGGTAGCAAAAAGTTGCCGACTAACAAAATGTTTATCATAATATCAAAAACATTTTGTCAGTTGACAGCTTCTTGATATCTTTTACAGGAATCGAGATACAGTACCATTTTGACATTTTCAGTACAAAATGAGCTAAAAAAAGGTGTTTTTCAGACATAATAGTTGAAATACTAGGAATTTTCAAACATTCCTTGAATGCAAAGTTTTCAATCTAGATCTGTTTGAAACCCTCCAAAATTTTCAAAGTGATCGAAAATTTGACAGTCGAGCTCCAGAGTCCTGATAGTGAGAAAAGTGAATTGAAAAATACTATTTGGTATATCTTATTGATTGGTATTGTAGTCTTTTTATTCTCATAAATCAAACCAAAATCATATTTATTCTGAATCGTTACTACTTCGATTTATCACTAATAATCAAACTGTATGTTTCATAAAAAGTTATTGATACAGAGAAAAAATATTTTTCCAGTTACACCTATATATCAAATTACAGTAATTTCTCAAAGATTTGATCCGAAGTTCACTCTTTTGGAAAGTTTTTCTTTTGGAAAGCTTTTGGGGGCCCATGAGAATAGGGGGGGGGGGGCAAGTCAAAAAGGGGGGGGGGGCCCATAGGTAAAAATGTGGACTAAGCTAAGATTAACCAATTTTTTCTAGTTTTGTGACCGCTTCCATTAAAATTTCAAACTTTGAACACTTTTCATAATTTTTTGAAAATTTAAGTTTATGTCATTTTTTGCATATTTTTTGTCTATTTTTTTGACTAAGCCTGGAAAAATCTGAAACTAGCTGAATAACTTCAAATTACACAGTTACAATGGAAAGAATAGTGTTGTTCATACAAAAAACTGGCCTATACTAAAATTTTTTGAAGTGAAAAATTTTTGTGGAAACAAGCGCAAAGTTCGAAATTTTAATGGAAACATTCGAAAAACTAGAAAAAATTGGTAAATCTTAACTTAGTCCACATTTTTACCTATGAGCCCCCCCCCTTTTTGACTTGGGCCCCCCCCCCCTATTCTCATGGGCCCCCTTTTCGCTTGGACCCCCTTTTCTCATGGGCCCCCTTGTCATAAAGAGCCGCATCAACCCTTATTAATTCCAGAACCCCTCCCTGCCACGTCACCACCACCTCCATCGCCTCCATCATTCTTTTCCCAAACTCTGCCCCCATCACCACCTGTTATCAGTAACAGTGGAGATGTATCGCCAGATCCAGAAAGGAAATTAGCGCTTCACCAAATGTCGAACAATCTGGAACCGCTGCTGCTACGTTGAGGTTAGTTTGGCAGCTTTTTAGAATTTGGGAGATACAGTAAGCCAAAAAAACGACAGACAAGAAATTGAGAATGACCTGAAAACCACAGAAAAAGTGAAGCTAGAATCAATATTAAAAGTGTGGAACAGGTACAAAAGTTTGAAAATGGGATCAGTGCTGTATGCAGAAGGTAAATAGTACCAGCTAAAAATTATACATTTCAGCTACTGTAGTGGAAAATCGCTAATTTTGGACGTCCACAAAACATAGTAGATTTTGCAAGATGATCCTGAAATTTTTAGAATTTATCAAACAAAAATAGAGCTTCAATTTTGTGATTGACAACATTTTTGTACAAATTCGTCCAAAAACGATATACCGCTAAGAACCAACAAAGTGCCACAAATTCCAGAATTAGAACTCGATAGCAGAAAAAAGCAGGATATCTCATTTGGATGAATTTTAACGATAAAGTTGTCAGCTACAAAATTGAAGCTCTATTTTTATATAGTACAGTCGAAACTTTGTTTTGTTTACGGACATTCAAAATTAACTATTTTCAACTAAAATAAGGTAAAATTGATAGAAAATTAGTTCCGAATGACCTAGCAAAATTAAGGGAACACTTTGGTTACTTGTCAATTAATTCAAGGCTATCGAATTTGGGCCGAGGCATTTTTAGTTCAGGTACTTCTGAAATAGGTAGAATTCGGCGGCCTAGCGGCCCTGATAGTTTTTGACTGGCTGAGCTTATTTTCAAAAGAACGGACTGATTGGTCCGCGGTAACATACCGACGGCCTCAATCACGGCTGGCCGCGGCCCTGTTTCCGACAGCCTTGAATTAATTGGAACAGTATTTTTTTTCTGGATTATTTTCAAAATAAAAATGTTCATACTAGCTGTTTGAAACAGTGCATAAGTAAACATTGTTACTCCGTCCCATAATAAACGTCCGTTCCGTTTGTCTCAATTTATCTCCGTTTCTGTAAGAGCTTTCAATAATTGGTCAATTGAAAAAATGTTCCTCGTAATATCAAAAATATTTTTTTAGTTGAAAACTTTTGATATATTCCAAAGGAACGAGATAAATTGACTACAAGTCAACAGCTAAAGGGGCACTTCTATTAGAAGGACCCGTTCTTTGAGAATGAAAAAATTTAATGTACGAGGATCATTAATATAACCATCATATTTTAAATTAGTCCCCACGATTATGAGTAATTTGAAACACAAATTTTTTATTTTAATTTTTTCTATCGATTTTCTAATTCTAACAATTAGCAGATACAAGTGAACCAATTGGAAACATCTCTGGAGCTTGAAAAGCGTATATTAAGTCCAAAGTGAGAAGAAAATTATATCCTCTGTTTCCAAAAGGTTTTATTGTTGTGAAGTCAAAAACATTGCAATATAGCGAAAATGGTCCATTCATTCCCCAAAAGTGATAGAAGTCCCGAAACCCCTAACTTTGACCAAAATTATCTTGGTCCCTGTGAAATATATCAAAAAGTGACCATCTGATGAAATGTTTATCGTATTATCATTAGCGTTTTATCAGTTGACAACTTTGTAGTATCTTTAACAGGAACGGCGATAAATTGAGTCAAAATCAGTGGTAATGGCTACCTGCAGGGTGTATGGTCGATCACAGAACGGCGCATAACTCGACTTCAACTTGAAATTTCTGGGTGGAATAAAAACTAAAACGAAACTTGATAAGATGTTCGAAATTATGTAAAATTCAAAAATATTGAATTTTTGAGTCTTGAGTTAAGCGGTCGTAAAGTCGGCCACATAAAACAGCAGGGTCGGCTGGGTTATGTACAACAAGCTCTTTAATTTTAACCGAGTTTATCTCGGTTCCCGTTAAATCTAGCAAAAAGTGACAAACATAAAAAAATGTTCATCATGAATGAAAATGGTATGCTGAACATTTTTTTTTTAAGTTCGTGATATTTAATTCAAAAAATTGATAAATTGTCTAGATATGGAGGTGGTCTCTTCTACAGAAAACGAACAACAAAAGAGACTACGGTCTAAAATTATTATAAACTTTCCTAAAACAACCACAGAGACTCCTCCGTGATTTCCTCCTCTCCACTCATCTCCTCCTCATACAATCATCTCCGTCGTTTCTCATCTCGAAGCTCCTCGCCATCATTCGCTCGAGCTCATCATCGTCTCATCTGCCGTCTTACAACCCCTGGTCGTCTGACTTGTAATCAAAAGAAAAAGAAGAATGTACGTCTTCATAAAAGCCGTTACGTAATGCCACCCAAATATTGGAAGCCCGCGAACTCGGATGTTCGAAAAATGAGTCCGAATGGGTTGAGAATTCGCAAGAAGAATTTTGCAACGACCAGAATTCATATTACTCCGTTTATGGGAGAATTGGCGAGACGGAGAAGGAAGTTGGATAGGTTCGAGTTGTTCTTGCATGGAACTTTGGGTATTTGGAAGATGGAGCACATTTGCATGTCTGGAATTTTTTGGAATTTTCCAAAAAATTGTGTCTGGCGCATGTTGATCTAATACTAACGATTGCACTAACAATGTCTAGAACTTCAGATTTTTTTTGAATTGGACATTTTCAGCGGCTCATCACACGAATGGAAGGTGTCTATAATTCCACGTGGCCAGAATACAAAACCATCGGGAGTTAGCTCAATTCCACCGTTCACTATTGATGGCAAGGCAGATGAGAGATTCAATAAGTTTTATAGAAGTGAGTTGGGATTTTCAATTTTTAGATATGTGAATTCACTGCTTTCAAAGCTTTAAAACGAGTATAAAGACGCTTAGTTAGGCTCCGCCCACTTTGAAGTGTTTGGGTTTCAAGGCGCATAAGGGTCCAAAACTTGAAATTTCGCAAGAGTAGGTCATGATTACACTTGTTTTGAAGCTCAAAACGTCAGAAATACAAATTTGAGAACTAATATATGACACAATTTTTCGAATTTCCGAATTTTTCGGTTTTACAATTCTCCAATTTTCCAATTTTCAGAATTTTCACTTTTTCAAAGTTGTGAAAAATTGCTACTCCAAATTTTGAATTTGCTGCTTCGACAGATCCAAGAAAAAGTATAAACACGCCTAGGCCCCGCCCACTTTGAAGTTTCGAATTTAAAGGCGAAGAGGAGTCCGAAGTTTGAAAATTAAAGACAAAGTTGATTACATCAACACCAGACTTTTAAACTTCTACCAATCTTTTTGGAATCATGAAACTGTAATTTTTTATTTTTGTACTACAGAATCGGAAAGAAAAGCTAAAATTTCAAGACAATTCTGGAAATTATTCCCACTTTCGCAAAAAAAAAATCGTAAGAAATTTGTTTCGGAAGGGGCACGAATCAACAGAACATTACTAGCCGAGAGAATTTCTGAAAATCTTGAAACAGGAAAAAATGTTTTCGTTCAAAAAATCCAATTTTTTCAGCCATCGACAAAGTGATCAACAAACTGGACTTGACCAATAGTGGAGATTTACACGTGAGAGAAGGAGAACCACAGATTCGTTTGGAGGTATGTTAGAAATTTTACATGGTGGTCTAACTTTTGCAAGTTTATATTTTTAGGCCACCATGGTAAATGGCCTAGAAATGGTATCATATTCAGTTGGTTTGCTTTCTAGGTCATTTCGACATGGTGGCCGAACTATTGCAAGATGATTTTTTTTAGGCCACCAAGATAAATGGCCTAGAAATGATCTGATAATCACCTGATGTCTTTCCTAGGTCAATTAACAGATAGTCTAACATTCAGTTTTCTAGGCCACCATGTTAAAAAAGTAAGGCGACCATATTAACATGAATGGTCTCGTGTGTTTTCTAGGTAATTTTACTATGGTGACCTAACCATCGAGTTTTCTAGGGCACCATGGTAAATGGTCTAGAAATGACTTCATGGTGTGTTTTCTAGGTCATTTTGACATGATGGTCTAGCTTTCGAGATTCCTAGACAACCATGAAAAATAGCCTAGAAATGATTTGACATTCACCTGGTACTTTTTCTAGGCTATTTTAGCATGGTGGCCTAATTTTTGCAACTTAAGTTTTCAAGTCCCCCATCTTTTTTCCAGGGATCCACCAAAGATCTATCGGTTGAGTCATCGGCTCGTGTGGTCTCCAGAACTACCATAGGTCCAGGAGTCACAAATAAAGTCAGTGTGATCCCATTCCGCCCGTTACGGTTTACGCCACCTCCTTCGTCTTCTTCTGCGTCCTCAAACCGTATCGAACAACCTGGACCACCTGGGATCTCCCCTGGACCATCGCCCGGACAATGTGGCATTGCTCCAGACTTCACCCCGTGTGTCTCTAATGAAATCGCCAGTAAATCGTTGCTAGAATGTTGTAAACGAAAAAATCTACCCGCCGGATGTCAACAGTTGTGTAGATATGATATTACGCAGGCGGAGGTGAGTCAGATTTTGAGAAAAAATATTCAATTTCTCCATTATTTAGAAAATCCATCAAATTTATTATATTTCTGTCCAAAAACCTACTTTCTAGGCCTTCTACCGAGATACAGTCCTTTGAAGTTTTGGA